TAGTAGTAGTAGTAGTAGTAGTAGTAGTAGTAGTAGTAGTAGTAGTAGTAGTAGTAGTAGTAGTAGTAGTAGTAGTAGTAGTAGTAGTAGTAGTAGTAGTAGTAGTAGTAGTAGTAGTAGTAGTAGTAGTAGTAGTAGTCGCCGTAGTAGTGGCAGTAGCAGTAGCAGTAGTAGTAGTAGCAGTAACAGTAGTACTATTATTAGTAATAGCACTGGTACTCGCAGTCGTATTAGTAGTGGTAATGGTCGTGATAGTAGTAGTAGTAGTAGTCGTCGTCGTCGTCGTCGTCGTCGTCGTCGTCGTCGTCGTCGTCGTTGTAGTAGTAGTAGTTGTTGTTGTAGCAGTGGTGGTGGTAGTAGCATGTGTAGTGGTAGTAGTCCGTTTCCTGTCAGCCAAGCAGATAGCTACGGCCGCGGTCAGGGCACAGCGGGGGAAGAAGGCACGCACGCAGCGAAACGCCGCACGGGCACGGCGGCAAACTTCACGGCGACAAGAGCCTGCTCATCGGAGACAGGTCTTCGCTGGACGTCAAGCCAAGGCGGCCACCTCCAGAGCAGCAGGCGCCCCGACCTGGAAGCAACGCAACCCCGAGAAGGTTCGCAAGTGCCCGGAAAAAAGAAGAAGGAAAAAACAAACAAAAAAACGTGGCTTTTGCAGCTAAACAGAGCGCCCTGAAGGCCCTGCCCCTCGCGGAGCAGAGGGCCACACGCAAGGCGAAGCTCGCCCACAAGAAGGAGCTCCAAGAGAGCCCCAAGACGCCCAAATCATTGATTTTCATTGTGTGTTTCCAATATTTGTTGCTTCTCACGTTTTCGAGCGGCCGACACTCCAAGACTGCCCAAGAAGCCTCCAACGTCGCCCTCCACAAGCGGACAGCGGTCTCCCTTTCTACGTCCTCGGCCCCCCATCCTCACCCTCATCTGCCCCGCCTTCCTCGCCGCGGCAAACGGCGATTGCGCGAGCGGGGCCGCCTCGAAACGGTGGTGTTTCACTACATGCTGGGCACTCTGCCCATGGACGTGCTGGAGACCTACGGGTTGGCCCGCCGGTCGGCGGCGGCCCTCCATTGAACCCGAATGGGCGCAAGTTCAGCTGCAGCAGCGCGACGGCGCTGACCCGAGCTCGAGCTGGCGACATCTTCAAACATGCGGATAGCCAGCTGATGTCTCTCATGGCCTGGTAAGAAGAGCAACTGTCGTCGCAGCGGCGTCGTTGACTCGCCCAGCTGACCGCGAGCTCTTGACGCGCGCCCCCCCCCCTCCCCCGCCTGATTGGTTCGGATGCGGGGGAGCGGTTCAGAGAGGCACCGCCGCCTCCTTGGCATCGCTCGGACGTGTGCATTTTTCCTTCGGCGAGGACCATCGAGGAGCATCCTTGATCATTTGACGAAAAAACCACGCACGAAACAAAAAGAAAACGGGGAATGGACGTCCGAGCGATGGCCAGCCTCGTGGAAGCGCGCCGTCGGCAGGGCGAGCGCCCAGAGGTGCAGGCAGTTGGACCCACCGCGTCGCGGCTGCCAGGTCGTCGCGCTCGCGCACGGCCCCGCAGAGCCCGTCGCGACGCGTGTCGCGCAGGCGCTCGAGTGAGTCAGGAGGAGTGAAAGCACACAGACACAATTAATCGTCGATCTCCCAGAAGATATGGGAAAATATGGGCAGTGGGGGGGGAAGACAGAAACCCAGACAATATGGGAATATATGGGGGATCCTCTTATTTGTATGTATTTATTTGTGTGTCCCAGGGCCCCTTCAGTGAGGCTGGACGCTCGGGGGCGAGGCGGCCATGGTGGGCGGCCCGAACTGCGTCGCAGATCACGCTGGTCGTGCGCCGCAAGCGCGGCACTTTGCGGACGCAGGCCCCCCTGCGACGTTAGCGGGGGGCACGTTCTGCCCGGGCAGTCCGCTGGGGCCGCGGGCGACGGCGTCGCCCCTAAATTGTTACACGCCTATTTCAACGAGTGCACCCCCCACCACGCGCTCTGCCCCTTCTCCCTCTCCGCGCAGGTACCCGATCGCCAACTCGAGCGGATTCGCTACGCGGCCTTCTTCGCCGCGGACTCGACCCCGAGGTCCAGGAGATCCCGCGCCCCCGCTGGTCAGGACCTTCCGCTGCGTGCCTGCCACAGCCCCGGCAGCGGAGCAGCGGCGGGCACGGCACCGGAGGAGCGGAGGCGGGCCTCAACAGGACCGCCACAAAGAAATTGCCCAAGACCGAAAAGCACCCCGAGCGGGCCACGGGCCCGACCGCTCCAAAAGTCGGCCGACGGCGCCACCTCCGGCGAATCACCTGCAGGAAAAACCACCGCCCCACGTCGTCTGCATCGCCTTTACCGCAGAGCTTCAGCGAGCAAGTGGACGGGCGCCGGAAACACCACGCGCACGCGCGTGAGAAAGTGGATCTTCGACACTTGGAAAGGTTGGGCAGCTTCACATGGATCGAGTCTGCCACCCCACTGGTGGATGGCCAGGCTGCAGACAGATGCGGGATGCGCTAGATCGGGCCATGACCATCGACCACCGCGAAGTTGCCGACGAAAGTCGCCGCCACCGGGCCTCGAGAATCTCGAGCTGGCCATCTCGGATCTGGAGCCTGGCGGCCCCCCGCGTCGAGCCGGCCCCCCGCCCGCGGCGGGGCTCGACGAGGCCGCGGCGCGAGCGGCATGGGCTTCGGCGTGGAGCCCCAGAGACCTGCGAGGCGCAGCCGAAGACTGGGGAAGGGGCGCGTGCTGGGCCCAGCGCGCGGCGTTCCCGCGGTCGTCGACATCCACGGATTGGGCCCCTCGCAGAAGAGGTCCATCCTGCTGCCGGGAGCCTCCCTCTGAGAAGGAGGCTTCGAGACCTCCATCCTTCTGCTGGACGCCTCCTGGTCCTTCTGGGGAGGAGGCCCCGGAGAAGAGGCATGACCAGAAACCCAGGGATTGGCTCCTGGCCACTCGTCGGATCCATTCGCTTCCAGCAGCCTCGGCGGGCCGCGCTCGAGGCGCGGCCAGGGCCTGGGCGGCGGGGGCGGCGTCGGAGCTGCGCCGCTCCGCAACGCGGCGCCCGGCCCTTCCCGGCCAGGGGCCTGCGCGACGCGCGGGTCGCCGCCGCGCGCCGCCGCCCCCCGGGGAGCCTCCGGGACTTGGCATCGCTCGGACGTGTGCATTTTTCCTTCGGCGAGGACCATCGAGGAGCATCCTTGATCATTTGGCGAAAAACCACACACGAAACCGAAAAAAAACACAGGGAATGGACGTCCGAGCGATGGCCAGAAGAAGGCCCCAGGGCGGCCCCAAAAAAGCTTCCGAGAGGACCCCAAAGAAGGCCCCAGCACGGCCCAAGCGGTCTCCGAGACGCCCAAAAAAGGCCTCCAGAGGCCCCGGAGCGCCCAAAGGAGGGCCCCAAGCAGATTCGGGCAGGCAGCCAAGACTGCTTCCGACGGCGTCAGACGGGCCAGGAACGCATTAAAACGGCCAGAGGGGCCGCCAAAAAGCCGCCAAGAGGCCCAAGGAGACCCCCAAGAGGTCCCCAAAAGACTCCCACGAAGCTCCAAGGAGGCCCCAAAGGTGTCCCAAGAGGCTCCCAAGAGGCTCCCAAGAGGCCTTCCCATCCCCCTCTCCTATTTCTCCTCCTCCTTTATTTCTATTCCCTCTCATCCGCTTCTTCTGTCTCCCCCATGTGTTCCCCGAAGGGTTTCCGCGGCGGCTGGTAGAACGCAGGGTCCGGTAGCTGGGCAGAGCTCCGGCCACGACGTTCGGCCACATGGGCGATGCCAAAAGGCAGGGGGCGATGGTGGTTCGCTGCAGGCATCCTCTATAGTTGTGGCTTCCGCAAGTAGGGACTCCTCCCTCCTCCTCTTCCTCCTCCTCCTCCTCCTCCTCCCCCTCCTCCTCCTCCTCCTCCTCCTCCTCCTCCCCCCCCCTACCCTTTTCATCGATGCCACCGAGACCGCCGACCACCACGGCCACGAGAACTCTTCGAAAACTGTGGGCAAAAAAGGCGTCACATATGGCTGCCGTCCTCGCCATTATCCTCCTCCTCCTCCTCCTCCTCCTCCTCCTCCTCCTCCTCCTCCTCCTCCTCTTGCTGCTCCTGTTCCTCCTCCTCGTCCTCTTCTTCCGCACCACCAGAAGCAGCAGCAGCAGCAGCAGCAGCAGCAGCAGCAGCAGCAGCATCAGCATCATCATCATCATCATCATCATCATCATCATCATCATCATCATCATCATCATCATCATCATCATCATCACAATCGCCATCGTCGTTGTGACAGCCGCTGGCATCACTTTCATCACCACCAGCACCACCATCATCAGCAGCATCATCATCAGCATCATCACCATCTGTATCATCAACAGGCGTGGTAGAAAGATGCCCGGGAGCGCCTGGAAAGCTGCCAAGGAGCATATCAAAAGCTGCCAAGGAGCGCCGTAAAACGGTGCCAAAGAGAGCTTGCAAAGCTGACAGGGGGGAGCGCGTTAAAAGCTGCGAAGGAGCGCTTGATTCATTGCCCAGGAACGCTTCCGAAGCTGCAAAGGAGCGTTTTCAAAGTTGCCAAGGGGCGCTTGAAAAGCTCCCAACGAACGCCGCAAAAGCTGCCAAGAGGCGCCGGAAAAACTGCCAAGGAGCGCTCGAAAAGCTGCTAAGGAGCGCTTTCGAAGCTGCCAAGGTTGATGGTGTTCCAACCTACTTTAGCCTTGATCACTAGAAAAAATAGAGCAAGAAAGTACCGGAACTGACGGGTTGTCACGTGTCGGGCCTTGGAAGTCGACACTAGTTCGACACTTCGCTAGCGTGTCGGGAAGACACTCTTTCGATACTCCTGGGTGCTAGAATGTTGTTTTAGATGTAGTCCTTCAGTACGATGGGAACAACGTAAGCCAAGGATCGCTTAAAAAAGCTGCGACAACTGTAAACTTTCACCATCCTCAGAACCGACAGCTGGGGAGTAGAACAGTTCACCGGGGAGGGTACCAGTTTACCTGGGGAGTGACTTCGTCCCCCCCCTGGCGCCACAGGCGATCAACACAAACTCCGGGAAGGCGCTGAAGAAGGCGGTGGCGTGCGCGCCCAGGGGTAAGCGGGCGTTGTGGATGCTGAATATCCAGGCCCGAGGGCGGGAGAGGAAAGGAGGAGCAGGAGGAGGAAGAGGAGGAGGAAGGAGAGGAGGAAGAGGAGGAATACGAAGACGAACAAGACGACAAAGGAGGATGTATGGTTTGTTTGGAGAGGGACTAAAGGGTCATGGGGGCGGGTCCAGGCGCTCTAGGGGGTTAGATGAGGCCAGGAGATCCTCTGGCCCAGGGACCTTCACGACGACGAGATGGGCAGAATTAGGGCATTCTGGAAAGATGTTTGGGGGCGGAAGAGGAGGATGAGGAAGAGGAGGAGGAGGAGGAGGAGGAGGAGGAGGAGGATGGCATGTTCTGAGAAGTGTTGTGGTGTTCGAAGTCCTGGGGGCTCGTGTCAAGACCTAGGACCCATTGAAAACAGCCCACGACACGAAACACGTGCGAAAAATAAGACGATTGCCCCCAAGGACGTCCGAGAGCGGAGATCGTCCGAGATTGAAAGATTCGCGTGGGGTCAGGAGCCAGGGCCCAGGCCGTCAAGACAGGAGCCTACCGTGGGATGATTCTGACTGGCTGGCTCCATCGTTGCTCCTTCTGGGTAGCACACAGGGGCTAGTCGAATATTTACAGGTCCTAGCGCAAACCTGCTGATAAAAATCTACGCAGCCGTGCGAGGCGAAGCACGGCGATACGCGCACGGAGACACGCAAGGGGGTTGTTGGGCCCTTGTGTGGGCGCCTGCCCGCCTGGGAGGTCCGTTTGGTCGACTGCTGGGGGCCTCCTGGGGCCTATTGGTGGCGTCTGCGAGGCTCTTGGGGCGTGTTGGGGTCTCGAGGCAATTTTCGGCGAAAGTCTCCAAAGGTCCTGTCGCGTTCCCCATCTTGGCCCCCACTTGGGGCCGTCTTGGAGCGATCTTCAGGGCCTCTTGGAGCGCCCTGGGGGCCCTGAAATTCTTCACGCTTCGCGTATCCCCACCAGCCAATCTCCAAACAGCAACTCTAGCGAAGCATGCCGACAGTCGTGTTTTTCAGGCGTGTTTCCGCCTGCCCCCGCATATCTCCCCTGTTCCTCCTTCCTCCCGCCTCCTTGTACATCCTCCTTGTGGTGGGAGCGGGAGAAGGACGAGGCGGAGGAGGAGGGAGAGAAAGCGCTCCTCGTGGTTTGAGTCGTTCGGGCTTCTCGTCCTGGTGTGAGTCGTTCGGGCCCTTCTTCCTGGTGTGAGTCGTTCGGGCTCTTCGTGGTGTGAGTCGTTCGGGCTCTTCGTCCTGGTGTGAGTCGTTCGGGCTTCTCGTGGTGTGAGTTGTTCGGGCCCCTCGTCCTGGTGTGAGTCGTTCGGGCCCCTCCTCCTGCCCGTCCAGAAACGACGCCCAGGCGAGTAGAGGGTCGTCCTGATGGGCTTTTCGGCGTCTTGGGTGCCTCGGGGGGGCCTCTTTGGGCCGTTTGGGATCCTCTTGGGGGCCTCCTGGGGGCCTCTTGGGGCCATCTTGGGGCCTCTTGGTGCCTCCTGGGCGCTTCTTGGGGCCATCTTGGAGGAAATCGATCAAAGAAGAGGGGAGCTTTAATTAGCGCTGCCCCCTCAGAAGGGCAAAATGGGGCCAAAACCTTAGTAAAATCAATGATTTTGGCTTGAAAGAAGAGGGGAGCTTTAATTAGCGCTGCCCCCTCAGAAGGCCAAAATGGGGCCAAAACCGTAGTAAAATCAATGATTTTGGCTTCAAAGAAGAGGGGAGCATTTTTCTGCCTCCCCCCGTCGGGGCCAGAATCCTCGTGAGGGGTGTCGTTTTTTAGCCCTCCCAGGAGTCGAAAAAGACCCCCCCGGCCACCCGCGGAGGGACCTCTCCAGGCCCAGGGGGAGGGGGGAGGGGGAGGGGTAAACCCCTCCCCGAAGGGGAAGAAGGGGGGTTGAGAACAGAGAGAGCTCGCTAAACCACTCACGCCCAAAGGGCTGGTGGGACTCGAGAGCGCGAGCATCCCAAAACTAATTTGGCATGATAACAGCACAAATCACAGAACGCGACGAGGGAAAATGGTAGCCTCGAGGGCCTTCTGGAGAGCATCTTGGGCCGTGCTGGGGCCCTCATTGGACAGACTCGGGCCCCCCTTGGCCTCCCGCCTTCGAGCCCTCTTGGGAACCACTGGGGCCGCTTTGAGGCTCCCCGGCGGCCCGGCGGCCCGGGGGTGTGCGGCCTTATTGGCATTCCTATTGGGGTCCTCTTGGGTTGCTTCTCGGACCGTCTTGGGCCGTTCTTGGAAGCGTCTTGGGCCGTCCTGGGGCCCCGAAGCTGGGAAGCGCGAGTGCCCCAAAATCTTCCAGAGATCACACGGGAAGTGTCAAGTGCGTGTTCTTCGGCCCTTCCTGGAGGGAGGGGGCAGGAATGGAGGCAGGGAGTGAGGGAGGGAGAAGAAGGACGAGAGGATGGAAGGAGCACGGGGGAAGGGGGGGGGGAAGGAAAGGAAGGGCGAGGAGGAAGAGGAGGACGAACAGGGTACGAAGCAGGACAGCAGCCATGGCAGCGCCACTGGTTCACCCGACAGCGCTCCGTGCTCGAAAGGAGCACCGGCGAGGCGTAACCCGCCCAGCGAGGCGTAACCACGCCCGCCTCTCGAACCCGCCAGGATCTTAGAAGGGGGGCCCGTTTTCACATGCCGCCCCGCCAGGAGGATATCAAAATGCCGCCGTGAACCCGTCTCCGGAGCAGCGAAGCAGTTGCCCGAGCCCGACGCAGAGGCCGGGAGGAGGAGGGGGAAGCGGAGCAGGAGGAGGAGGAGGAGGAGGACCAGTGCAAACCTAAGATTTTAAGACTCATCATCGATGTTGGCAGGAACCCTCCCTTCAAGCTCCCTCTTCACAGGCCCCTACAAGAGTTAATTTCCATTCGGGGAACTGCATCGTTGGGAGACAGCCGTTTGAAGACCCTGTAGCATGCCAGTACACCATTCTCAGGACTCCAACGCCACAGATGAACCTGGCTGTTGCGTCTTGAAGGTCCTGAGTCGTGCCAGAACGACATTCCTAATCAACGTAAGTGTGCACCCTCACAATCCAGAATATGTCTTTAAACAAGTTCTGGTACGTTGATAATTGGAATCCGTGGCACTCTTGCAAAGGTTTAAAACGAATGCGCGCAGCGCTAAGGAGAGAGCCACATTTTGAAAACGGACCGCCTTCCATCAGTGAGACTTTTCCAAATATGTTTTAAAACGAATGCGCGCGGCGCTGAGGCGAGAGCCACATTGTAAAAACGGCCCGCCCTCAATCCGGGAAACTCTTACAACGTGGGTTCCGAATGTGCGCCGCACTACGGCGAGGGCCACATTTTGAGAACGGCCCGCCCTCAATACGCGAAGTGTTTGCAATTGTTTAAAGCGACTGTGCGGGGCGTTGAGACGAGAATTACATTTTGAAACGACCCGCCCTCCATCTGTGAAGCTGCTGCCAATGTTTAAGCTTCAGGGTCACAGTTGGCGAGGAAGTCTCAAGCGAAACGCCTGGCCATCGACTGGCCTCGGGGTGCGAGAGGGACGAGTTACTTGCAAGGAAAACGAATGGATGAAGAGGAGGAAGAAGAAGATCAGTGCGAACGCAAGAGTCATCTACGATGTTGGCAGAAACCCTCCCTCCAAGCTCCCTCTTCAGAGGCCCCTACAAGGGTTCATTTCCACTGAGGGAACTGCTTCGTTGGGAGACAACCGTTTGAAGACCCTGTAGCATGCCAGTACACCATTCTCGGGACTCCAACGCCACGGATCAACTTGGCTGTTGCGTCTTGAAGGTCCTGAGTCGTGCCAGAACGCCATGCTTGGGATTCTAATACAGTGAGCCAACATAACTGTTGCACCCGCATAACCCTGAGTCTTTTCAAAACACAACTTCTGTTACGCTGACAATAGGAACCCTCGAAACTCTTGCAATGTTTAAAAAATGCGCGCGGCGCTAAAGCGAGAGCCACATGTTGAAATGGAACCGCCCTCCATCAGTAAAACTCGTCCAAGCAATGTTACAACGAACGCGCGCGGAGCTCAGGCAAGCCACATTCTGGAAACGACCCGCCGTCAATCTAGGAAACTGTTACAACGTGTGCGCGGCGCTGAGGCGAGAACCACATGTTGGAAACGACCCGTCCCCAATCCGCGAAATTCTTGCACTGTTGTAAACGAGCGCGCGCGGCGCCGAGGCGAGTGCCAGATTGTAAAAACGGCCCGCCCTCAATCCGTGAAACTCTTGCAAACGTTTACAAAGAACGCGCGCCGTGCTAAAGCGAGATTCACATGATGAAAACGACTCGCCCTCAATCCGTGAAGCTCTTGCTTTTCCCCGTTTTTGGAATGCGCGCGGAGCTAAGGCGAGAGCCACATTTTGAAAACGGCCCGCCCTCCATTTGTGAAGCTGTTGCTTGTGTTAAAGCTGCAGGGTCATGAATGCTGAGGAAGTCCCAGGCTAAACGCCCACCCGCCCTTTCGACCAGCCTCGGGGTGCGACAGGGAGAAATTATTCATGAGGCAAAGGAATGGAGGAGAAGAGGGAGGAGGAGAAGGACCAGTCTAAATCTCAGAGTCATCAACGATGTTGGAATAATCCCTCCGTCCGAACTCCCTCTTCATAGGCCCCTACAGCGGTTCATTTCCATTGAGGGAACTGTTTCGTTGGCAACCGTTTGAAGCCCCTGAAGCATGCCAAAACATTGGTGTCGGGATAGCAACGCCACGGATCAACCGTATTGGTCCGTCTTGCCGAACCTGAGTCGTGCCAGAACGCCGTTCGTGGGACTTCAACACAGCGAACCAACGTAACTGTTGCACCCGCAAAGCCTTGAATCTGTCCAAAGCACCATTTCTGGTACGTTGCTTTGTAAACGAATCTGCGCGGCGCTAGGGCGAGAGCCACATGTTGAAAAGGAACCGCCCTCAATCCGCGAAGCCCTTGTACCTTGTGAGAACGAATGTGCGCCGCGCTAAGGCGAGAGCCACATTGGGTAAAACGGCCCCGCCCTCAATCCGTGAAACAGTTGCAATGTTTTAAACGACTGTGCACCGCGCTACAGCGAAAATCACCTGTTGAAAACGACCCGCCCTCAATCCGTGAAGCTCTTGCAAGTGTTTCCAAAGGAATGCGCGCGGAGCTAAGGCGAGAGTCACATTTTGAAAACGGCCCGCCCCCCATTTGTGAAGCTGCTACCGACTTTTTAATCTTCAGGGTCATAAGCGGTGGGGAAGTCTCAGGCGAATCGCCTGGCCCGTCCTGAAAGCTAGCCTCGGGGTGCGACACGGAGAAATGATTCAAAAGGAAAAGGAATGGAGGAGTGGAGATCCTCTGCCCCCTGCCCCCGCTCGGGCGTTCCACGTTCCACTCGACCCGTACGTGTTGAGGGCGTTGGGCTCGGAGCATGCTGGCCACTACCCCTGCCTGTGCCTCAGGGGACGTAGACATCTGTCCCCTGCGCCAGACTGACACTCCCGCACACAAGGTCCGGCTTGTGTGTGTGGAGTTTGTTCCCAACCATCTTGTGGTGCTGGGTCCGCGTCTTCAAGAGACAGCACCCCGCGTTTCTTCCTCTCCCCTCCTCCCCTTTCTCCCGCTCCTCCCTCCTCCCATCCCTGCCTCTGCCCTTCTCACAAGTCACACATGTCGGCACACCCTTCACACGCCTTGTGGCCCCGTAAGGAGCTACACCCAAAGCCCAAATGGTGCCGCCCGCATGCGTCCCCGCCATCCAGTCTGGCGCTCCCTCACACGTTTCGTGTCCCCATAGGGAGCCCCACCCAAGGCCCAAATGGTGCCGCCCGCATGTGCTCCCGCCACCCATATCGGCACATCCCTCACACGCTTCGTGACCCACATGGGGAGCTCCACCCTAGGCCCAAATGGTGCCGCCCGCATGCGCCCCCACCGAAGGCCCAAATGGTGCCGCCCTCATGCGTCCCCGCCACCAATTTCGGCACACCCTTCACACGCTTCGTGACCCCGTAGGGAGTTCCACCCAAGGCTCAAATGGTGCCGCCCGCATGCGTCCCCGCCACAAAATCCGGCACACCCCTCACAAGCTTCGCGGCCCCGTAAAGGGGGCTCCACCCAATACCCGAATGGTGCCGCCCGCATACGTCCCCGCCACCCATTTCGGCACACCCCGCACACGCTTCGTGGCCCCCATAGGGAGCTCCACCCTAGGCCCAAATGGTGCCGCCCGCATGCGCCCCCACCGAAGGCCCAAATGATGCCGCCCGCATGCGACCACGCCACCCATTTCGGCATACCCCTTCACACGCTTCGTGGCCCACATGGGGAGCTCCACCCTAGGCCCAAATGGTGCCGCCCGCATGCGCCCCCACCGAAGGCCCAAATGGTGCCGCCCGCATGCGCCACCGCCACTCATTTCGGCACACCCCTCACACGCTTCGTGACCCCCGTAGGGAGTTCCACCCAAGGCTCAAATGGTGCCGCCCGCATGCGACCACGCCACAAAATCCGGCACACCCCTCACAAGCTTCGCGGCCCCGTAAAGGGGGCTCCACCCAATACCCGAATGGTGCCGCCCGCATACGTCCCCGCCACCAATTTCGGTACACCCCTCACACGCTTCGTGACCCCCATAGGGAGCTCCACCCTAGGCCCAAATGGTGCCGCCCGCATGCGCCCCCGCCACCCATTTCGGCACACCCCTCACACGCTTCGTGACCCCCAAGGCTCAAATGGTGCCGCCCGCATGCGTCCACGCCACAAAATCCGGCACACCCGTCACAAGCTTCGCGGCACCATAAGGGGGCTCCACCCAATACCCGAATGGTGCCGCCCGCATGCGTCCCCGCCACCAATTCGACACCACACACGCACACACACACACACACACACACACACACACACACACACACACACACACATCACACATCACACATCACACATCACACGCTTCGTGGCCCCATGGTGAGCTCCAACCAAGGCCCAAGTGGAGCCGCCCGTATGCTTCCCCGCCACCAATTTCGGTACACCCCTCACACGCCTCGTGGCTCCATGGGGAGCTACACCCACGGCCGAAATGGTGCCGCCCGCGTGCGCCCCCGCCATCTATTTCGGCACACCCCTCACACGCTTCGTGGCCCCACAATGAGCTCCACCCCAGGCCCAAGTGGTGCCGTTCGCATGCGCCGCCGCCGCACATCCGGCACACCCCTCACACGCTCAGTGGCCCAATAGGGAGGAGCTCCACCCAAGAACCCAATGGTGCCGCCCACATGCTTCCCCGCCACCCGTTTCGGCACGCATCTCGCACGGTTCGTGGCCCCTCAGGCAGCTCTACCGAAGGCGCCATTGGCGCCCTTCGCATGCGCCCCCGCCACCCATGTCGGCACACTTCTTGCACGTATCGTGACCCCACATGGAGCTTCACCGAAGGGTTAAGCTGCACCCTTCGAATTCATCCCCGCCGCCCATTACGGCACACCCGTTAAACATTTAGTGCCCCCGTTGGGAGCTCCCCCGAAGGCCCCAGTGGCGACGTGTGCGTGCGGCCCCCCCACCCGCCCCCCATTTCGGCACAACCCTCACACGGTGCATGGCCCCACAGAGTTTCACCCAATGTCCAAGTGCCAATGTTCGCATGTACCCCCCCCTCCCGCCCACCCCCTACCATGTTTCCCATGTTTCGTGGCCCACATGCAGCTCCCCAAGGCACCATGAGGAGATCCACTGAAGGCGATACTCACAACGACGGTATTCACGACTGCACATGGTTCGGTCTTTCGCCAGGATAAGTTCTGTCCCTCTGGAATGGTCGGCGTGACTTCCGGTAGCCCTTAAGCTGCGAACGGGCACGCGGGGAGGGGGTAGAGGACGACTTGGAGGAGGAGGTGGAGGAGGAGGAGGAGTTGGCGGTGGAGGGCGATGGGGAAAACCCCACCTGCCGAGGTCGGCACGCAGTCGATCTCTCCCTTCATGTGGGCCATCGAGACTGGCAGTCTCGAGGCGGCCAAGGCTATCATCGTGGACCTCTTGACCATCAGGGCCCTCATACTCTCCTCGCCTTGCCCTCCCTTGCTTACTCGTGATCCAGCACACGATCATCCTCCTCCCTTGGCCTTACACTTCTGTCCATCCTCATCAGCAGCAGCATCATCGTCATCAAAAGCAGCAGCATCGTCATGAAAATCAGAAGCATCATCTCCTTCAGCTTCAGCAGCAGCATCCTCGTCAGCATCAGCAGCCGCATCAGCATCAGTATCATCAGTATCATCATCATCATCATCATCATCATCAGCAGCAGCAGCAGCAGCAGCAGCAGCATCAGCACCATCATCAACAACAGTAGCATCACCACCATCAGCAGCATCATCAGCATCCCCCCCTTCATCCCCCATATCAGCATCAGCATCATCAGCAGCAGCATCATCATCATCAGCATCATCAGCAGCATCATCAGCAGCATCAGCATCATCCTCATCATTAGCATCATCATTGCCCAACTCTACCTGCTCATCCGCCTGCGTCATCATCCTTTGCGTCTGCTTATCCTCCGTTCCCTCCTTTCTCTGCTGCTTCTCCGCCTCCCCCACATCGGCCTCTGCCGTCAGGACAAGCGGAGGATGAGGAGGGCACAAGGCGGATCGAGACCGCTACTATTACGGCATGGACACCCTGTTCGAGCGCCACCCCGACGTGGTGAAGAGGTTCCTCCGTCTTGCTGCTCATCCGTCTCCTCATCCTCCTCGGACTCCCCAGACTTGGAACGCCCTGATTCCCCCCTGAGTCCACTGGGACGCCCAGTCCACCCTACAACCTGCCTTATCCCTTCTCACACCCCCTCGCCCCGTCTTCCTCGTCCTCTTCCTCCGTGCCCCTCCTCCTAATGATACTCATACGTATCCTTCTCAGCATCACCATCATCATTATCATCATCAGCAGCAGCATCATCTTCATATTCATCAGCTCCAGCAGCATCTTCATAGTCATCTCCATATTCATGTTCATCTTCATCCTCAGCAGCAGCATCGGCATATCATCATCAGCAGTAGCATCAGCATCAACATCCGCATCATCATCACCATCAACATGATCATCATCATCAGCATCAACATCAGCAGCATAATCAGCATCATCATCAGCATCAGCATCATCATCGTCACCATCATCATCATCATCATCATCATCATCAGCAGCATCAGCATGAGCATCATCATTATCATTAGCAGCAGCAGGAGTAGCATCCTTCTCCACCTCATCCTCCTCCTCCCCCTCCTCATCATCATCGTCCTCATCCTCATCCTTATCCTCATCCACTATCATCCTCATCCTCCTCGTCTTTCCTCCCCCTCCTGCGAAAAAAAAACCATGCGCCTCGAACCCTGCGCCCCTGGCCAGCGGGTTTCGTTCGCAGCGGCCCAGTTTGCGTCCTGGTCTCGCGCAAATTGACCATGACCTTCAGGGCAGCGCGCAGCCGGTGGCTTTCTGGCTACGCTGCACAGCAGCGTCAGCTGCCAAGGCGAAAGGAAAAGGTGCATAGCAAGCGACCGGATCTCGCCTAGCCTCCCAGGTTCAAGGCCGACGAGGGCGCTGGAGCTCAGGCGCCCTGCCCTTCCAGGCCTCAGTGGTGTTCCACCAGCTTCTGGACCCTGGATTTCTTATCCAAGTGTTCCTCATCCAATGCCCTCACAGTCCATACCCATTTTGGCTCAAGGCCATGTCGGGACGCCCCCCCGTCTCGAAGTGGCGGCACGCTGCGCCCGGGTGGGCAGGGCGCGGCCGGGGCGGGCGCCGCGGGGCCAGCCGCCGCTGCCGCAATGACGGATTCGGGGCCCGACAGCAAGAAGCGGTGCTCGCAGCGTCGTCCCGCTCCGGCAGCTGCCGGCCGAGCACGCCGTGGCGCGGCATGCGAGGCGCTCGCAGGCGCCGAGCGCATGGAAGCGCGAGGACCAGAGGGCCACACAGCCGCGGCAGCCTCGGGCCGCAGGTGCAGGCGCAGCGCCGGCGGGAGTCGCGGCCGTAGCGCAGGTGGGCGTGAGCGTCAGACGCCCCCGAGGCGGACGTCATCATAGCCACCTTCCTGGCGCTTTTGCGTGTGCCCGTGGTGCCCACGCACAGCCTGGCAGAGCTGGACTGCGACGATGTTGAGTTCGACTTCGAGGCGTGCTTCGAGATCGACGGCGTGGGCTGCGACGGCTACGGCGAGCTGGAGGCTACGGCGTCTGGTGCTGAGCGCGGCCCGAGGTGTCCGCTGCCTGTGGCAGCGGTACCGAAGCGGCGCCCTGCCGACGAGACGGCGCCTGCCGACGGTGCCCCGAAAGAGGAGACCGACATGGCGAGCAGGTGCTGGGCTACAGCATCGCCGAGAAGTTCCCGAAACTTCGTGGCACTGGGCCACCAGTTGTTCTCCGCAGCGGCCATGGGTGCCGCTGAGACGGCAGTGCGCTGCGGACGCTGCATGCGGTGCTGGGGCCTGGTGTGGCCTTGCACACCAGGCCTCAGCAGCACCGTACCGCCACCGCCCACGATCGTGGGGGGTGGGAAAGTGGGGCAGGGCCAGTGTCGGGGCGGACTGGCAACCCAAGTCCACCCCCGTGTTCAGAAGCCCCCGTGGGGTTGTCACCTGGCTGACGTAACCCTAAAGCTCGGGTTCTAGGGCTGGCTGCGTAACCAGCACCGTCAGTCCAGGAAAGAAGCTCTGACCCTAGGAAACAGCTGTGGGCTGAGGCGAAGCTGCAGCCCTGCGCCGCAGAAGAGTGCGCAACGCTCCTTCCCTCCGAGGTAGGGTGCCTGACACGCGTGCAGGACCACACACGCACGCGCACACGCACAGTATTCAGTTGGGCCCAGATGTGGCGTTGCACACCTGGCCACAATCCCGTTCCTCCGCCGCCTACGGCGGGAAGGTGGGAAGGTGGACCTGGGCAGCAGTCAGGGTGGGCAAGGGAGCCCGAAGCCCACCCCCGTGCCCAGCAAAGAGGTAGCGCCAAAACAGCACTCTGCAGTGAAAAGGACGGCATGCCTCGCCTGGCTGGCGGTACCCCAAAGCTCGGGTACTAGGGCTGGCTGCGGGACACCAGCACCGCCAGTCGGAGCGAGAAACCCCAGATCGAACCTGCATCGGGCCAAGGCGTATCTGCGGCCAATGCCGCAGGGGAAAGAAATGAGCTCTCCTTCCCCCTGGGTCGGGGTGCCTGACACGCGCGCGGGGAGCGCGCTCGCACACGCGCACAAGTGCACAGAGAATGAGGCGACGCCAGGACGACTCGGCACTGCCCACCCCTGGCGTAGAGAGAACGCCAGGACGGCGGGCAAGCCTCATCCTTGGCGTGGGCCTGTCTGCGCCTGGGCTTGAGCTGCCTCCCTGAACAGCTGCTCCAGCGGCACGGGAGGGAGACTGAGCACAGTCGGGCTGGCGGCGGAACTCTTGGGGCGACGGCCAGACCATGCTCTCTGCAGCTGCAGCTTAGCCCCATCATGGGGCGGTCTCAACTTACAATCACCAGACAAGCCTCTCGAATCGCCCTGCTTAAAGGAACCACACTTGTGGCGCGCCAAAAACTTGTTGGCTGTTCGAGATGCTCGTAATAGAACAAAGTATGCCCCCCTGGGGTTGGAGGACAGGCTGGACATCCGGGGGCAGTGTCCAGGGCAATCCATTGCACTGCATCGCTCCTCATATGCTTTGTACGTGCGGACGCGGGTGCGGCAAATCGCACATCGGCGCTGGCCACTCACGATCGCCCAGACGCGGGCCCCCGGCAACTCGCGAGGGGCCACGCGGGGAGGAGGGGGAGGAGGGGCGGAAGGCGGGGCCCCTGGGCCCCAGGAGGCCAAGGCTGAGGCAGTCCCCGAGGGAGGGGAGAGGCTCTTCACAGACTTGGCCAGCGCCCTGTTGCGACGAGGGGCTATCACGGGCCACTCTCCAAGGGCGTTGGACACATGCCGAAGGTATTTCTTCAGCAGGGCAGTGTCTTTCTGATATTGCTCTACTTCGTCGAGGCTAGGTTGGCTGCCAAGGTTCGCGGCGGCCTCGGCAATCCGATCTGCGGCATCATTGCCGCTGGCTAAACAGAATTCGTCACAATCGGGGTGTGGGGGGGGGGGGGGGGGGGCAACTCCAGATGTTGGTGAGCCTGGACTTTCTGGAGTGCGGGGCCGAGGTCAAAGTAGCCTCCGCCCGCGAGCACTTTACAACTTGACCATTGGCCACGGCGAGGGTGCCCAGCCTCGCCGTGCAACTGCAATACCTTTTTATAATCCGAGTAATTCTTGTCCACGCGAGGCGAGCGCCTGCCTGCCGCCACTGCGGCGAGGTGCTCAGCGGCCCCCGAGGTCTGGGCCCCCAGGGACCGAACGCCACCATAAAAGGTGGCAAACTCCTCTCCATCCACAACGCACGCTACGGCAAGCCCAGCAGCATTTATGTTATAGTGGCCGTGACACGTGCAACTACCATCTATGTAGACATCACCTTCGAACGCTTCCGCACGCCTTAAATTGAGGTCTCGACGCCAAAACTTAGCGGCCCCCAGGCCAGTGCCAGGGGGGGGGGGGGGGGGGGGGCACAGAGTTGGGCGTAAACTGATGCCCGAGGTGGGGCGGGGAGGCGTCAGGAATCGGGTGTTTCAACCTACGAAGTCCCCCACCAGTGAACTCTTCTCTGGCCTGGGCAGCCTTGGGGCGCTCGAGGAGGCGATGCTGGAGGTCATCTTTGCGGCGCCCACATGGGCAACCCTGGGGCGCGCCATATCCTGCTGAAAGTGCACGCCCCATGGTCCAGGTACTCTGGGTGGCGAAGGCCAGCAGCGCGCCGCGCTGCTGCTTGGCCAGCCCGACTGAGCTGAGGAAGCAAGGCCTGTAGGAGTGACAAAACGGAAAGGACCTTGAAACGACCACCCCACCCTGGCCAACGAGAGGGCCGCCGCGCTGAATGGGGGCCCCACAGGAGCCCCAAGCGTTGGAAACTCTCGGCGAAACTGCCTCTCCCCAGAGGCTGATCTGTTGGAGGCTGGCCACGGCCGCATCGGGGCGGGCGCTGGCCTCCCAGACAAGACGGCGCCACACAATCGCGGGTCCGAGGCCCGCTTTCCAAGGGGGGTCCTGGAGGATGAGGAGCGAGAGAGCGCGGCTCCTCGAGGCGCACCTAGGACCTGCTGCAGCCAGACATTGAGCTGGGGCCTGCGCAGGCAGTGTGTTGCTGACGCCCGCGGCCTCAACTCCGAACGTGGTGGCCGCTGCGAGGCCAGTATTGTACAATTTCATACCGCTTCCCCCAGCATGTTTAATCGTGTTGATACGGGCCGTGCATTTCTTGATCTTGTTAATGCGCTCCACAAGCTGTCGTCCTTTTCGCCAACGCCTTTGGCGCCGCCCAGCCCCGCTTTCCATTCCGAGGTCGGGTCCTGAGATGTCTGCAGCGGGCCCAGCGAGCGCCCCGAGGCCCCCCGAAGCTTGTTTTGGAGGTCCTGGCTGGAGGCTAAAACCTGGCTCTTGTCGGTAGCAATCTGGCACTTAAACTTGTGAATGATGCACCAGGCTAGGGACCGAGCAGCCAAATTCACTTGATTGATCACTACTTCATAGCTCCTAGCATGGCACTGCAGCGATAAATCGTCGATAAACATCGCGAGGCGAATGTAGCTGCGCGTGGCTGTCCACTAGTCGAGGGTAGCGAGAACATGCATTTGCACGAAATACGTCGCCCACCCGCACCCTGCAATCAAACCCCTCCACGCTTTGCCGGCATTACCACACACATCCTGCACATCAGCGAAACGAGCACTTCCACATTGAGAGAGAATGATGCGGCGCAGGCAGCACGGGGAACCAGAGGCGACAGCGCGCTGGGCAAGGAACTCGCGATCTACATGCTCGCACGACTTAGAGAGGTCCCATAACACTTGAGCGGAATGTTGGGGCCCCTCTTGACACGCGTGATATTCACGTGCAAGAGACTGTGCATATACTAGTTCCACTATTGAATGTCCCGCGTGATGTACGACATATGGTCGCTTGTGGTGAAATTCCCACTCTCGGGCTGCTGATCTCCGCAGTCGGGCCCAGACACGATAAAGAGCAGGGAGCATGCCGATCGACCGAAAGGCGGGCTGGGCATTAATCATCCGGTTGTTTTAATTTGGGCATAAGCGTAGATATAGCACCCTGCAGGTGCGATGGCATGTGCCCAATCTGCTCGATAAGCCCAAGCATCTTACAAACTAGCTCGGCTTGCTCGTCATCGAGCATGGCGAAGTGGCGCGGGCGCACTCCGTCCCAAGTTGAGGCCGTACTGCGTGGAAAGTTGCTGGATACCTTTCGACGGCGAGCTGGGGCGACGGGTCCAAGGGCCACCCTGTCGTCGGTCTGGGGAGCCCCTTGTAGGGGAGCCTCAGTGTGAACATCCCAAATCTTGGCGAGTCGGTCGGCCTTGACCTGGAGGACGTGCTGCGGGCGCCCAGAAAACCGCTGGCGATGCACAACCGAAACAGGCTCCCAAGTTTGGAGCTCCTTCGCCCACCTGTGCGCCCATCCCACACCTCCTTTCATGGAAGACTGCACCCAATCCCTCCACCCCTGCCCGTCCTTACTGCGATCGGTGGCAAGTTCAGCATCGATGAGCTTGCCGACTTGCTCGAGCAGCTCATCTAAAATCGTGATGCCCAACTCTGCGTTGAGCGTCTGCGCATGTAAATCCTCATGCAACAGTCCTGCGGCAACGCGAACTTCCTGCAGCCCTTGAGCAAGGGCTGGAAAGGTGTTCAAACTCCCAGGGCTGTCTTCCAGACTGTCCAGGGTGCCCCGAAATTCCTGGAGTTCCTCATCCTGGATGCTGCGTCGAAAATATTGCAGCCGATGTTGGAGCCAACGAAGAGGCTTGGAGCAGGCCGTCCAGCACTTGCGCCCCTGGGAACACTTCGCACTCGCCGGGGCCATGTAAATCTGGGGGGGAGCCCTGGGAGTCTTGCTGGGTCTGTGGGGGGCGTCCGTTTTCACGCTGAGTCCTGGACGAGGGTGAAGTACACGTGGCCCAGGATTGTGGAGCGCTGCTTGTCGGAGAGGGGCTGCGAGGCATCTCCGAGAAGTTGGATAGCATACTCTATCACTGCAGCTGCCTGATGCCAACTGACCGAGAGGAGCCGAGGTCCAATGGGCGTCCTACGGGGGAGATTCTGGGGCCTGAGGAGCGTCGGTATCTTGAAATTGTCCTGCACACGCAGGGCCATGGTAACAGGGCGGTGGGGAGCCAAGGGGTAGGAGGTCAAGGCACAGGGAGGTTCCAGCCAGGGCCCCAAGGCCTGGCTATGGATAAAAAATCGAGGGTCGACTTCGTCTTCTTAGTGCGGTAGGTGGCGGCTTTGGGCGCCGCTACCCCAATCGTGGCACGCGTGGGAAAATCCGTGCCCTGCTAGAGCCTCTCTGGTTGCAAATTAAAATCAACTGCAGCAATGAGAGGCTTGCCTGATAGATCTTGGGCATGTCCGATGGTGGCCAGCAGATTAAACTTATATTTAAATTGGTCTCATTGAGACCCGAGGACGCTTGAAAATAAGCGCTCACCAGACCGAAATTTGGGACCCCTGGCGCTTCGACGACAACCCCAGCAAGTCTGGAGCTGTCAGCCCCTGGAGGAAATTGCAGCGGTTGGACCCCAAGGCCCAAGCCATCCCGAACTAAAACCGCCACCCCCGAGACAAGCTCACCCGATGGGGTTGCGGACGGTAGGCGAAATGTGAGCAAGCCAGCATCGTGCGAAGCACCATTGTATCTGACGAATGATACTGTCCCCTGCTTCAAGCCTGCACTCCTGAGCGCAGATGAAAGTTAAATTGCGTGCAGTGCTGCACTCTACGAAGCCTTTCACTGCTCCCCATCACGATCCGTTGATCGTGGCGAACGTGTAGACGTTGTCAAAGAGACGGCGGTGAAGAGTGAAGACGCTGATGCCGCCCCAGCAGTCCCCGTTGCTGCTGCCACTGATGCTGCTGCCGCCTTGGCCCGCTTGGCCTCAGGACCCACCTGGTCCTGGATCTCGGCGAAGCCGCTGGCGACGGCCTGGAGGGCCGACGCCGCGCGCACCAGGGACTTGGTCTGATCCATCTCGTCTGCTCCCGCGTCGAGCTCCGCGTCGTTCGGGCACGGCGCGTTCTCGCCTGTGGCCGCAGCGCCCGCCGCCGCGGCGGCGCCGGTGGGCTGCGTCGGCGGCGCGCCGCCTCTGGCAGCATCGCCTGCGGCAGCGGGTTCTCTCGCAGGAGCCTCGCCGACGCTCGGGGAGCCGTTGTCCACCCACGGCTTCGGCGCAGCCTCCCGGGACTGCACGCGCCGAGTCGCGAGGTCGTCGAAATAGGTCGCGAGCTCGGCCACCTTCGAGCAGAGGTCGGGCGGCGCCCTGCTGCCAGGCCGCGCCGCGAGAACCCCCTCTGCATGGCAGCCTGCTTGGCCATATTGTACTGGCTCTCGAGGCTCTGGATCTCCTGCTGCGTGTTTCTGGCCTCCGTGACGAGCTTGGAGTGCCTGTCGCTGGCGTCCAGGATGACTTCAACGAGCTGCTTGAGTTCCGATGTTTGTGATGCATACTTCTGGCGTTGGGTCTCCAATTGGTCCGAGAGACATTGCGCCTGCTGGTCCAACGACTTCGAAGCCAAGATTGATGCCTTGGCCTGCTTGAGCTTGCCCAACGCCGCGGTGTGCTGGTCGCCGTTGGGCTTCCACTTCTTCCAGAATGTGACCTGCGCCTGCGCCAAAGCCATTGGAGATCCTGCTTGTGGCTGCGGTTCATCTCCTTCTGCGAACGAGACTGCGCCCGGCCGTCGGAGATTTGGAGGGCGACTTGGCCCCCGAGAGCGGCCGCGTCCACGCCAGCGGCCAGGCTTGTCACGGCGCGGCCCAGGCGGAGGCTGGAGACCCGGTCCTGCCTCGCCCGCGGCACCGAGGTTGCTGGCGGCATTGCCACGGGCGCTTCCAGACTGGTCACGTTGCTGCTGCTTGAAACGGCCACCGCATTGAGCATAATGCTCAGCACCAGAAGAACACCAAGCCCAGCCTCTACAGTCGCGGCGATTGAACGTTATGAACTTCTGCTGCTTGGCCATCGCGACTTGCGACCCCTTCGCTTCGCGGGCGCGCGCGAGGGAGCGAAAAGCAGACTTCGTGATCGCGGTGCCGAACAGGCCACGGGGGGCCCGCTCGTGCCCCAGCGCCCAGGGGACGGCAGCGCCGTCGCCCTGCACCCCCAGCGGCGCGATCAGGACTTGAGCCAGGCCCCGGGGCAGGAGGAGGAGGAGGAGGACGCGTTGGCCACGGAGGCCAGCCTCATCACTAGGCCGCCGTGGGCAGACACCGCTTCCGGGTCTGAGGGCGAGGCCATCCCGGTCGCGCCGACTCTCTTCTCGGTCCAGGGCGACCCCGCAGGAACGCCGAGGGGGGCCGCGCCGCGGAAGGCGACGAGGCGGCGCCGAGTGCGCCACAAGCTGGCGGAGAACAAGGGCTACGGCAAGGGCAAGGGCGAGAATTCAACGGCGATGTGCGAGCACAGCGTGCCAGCGACAGGCCCCCTGGAGAGCGCGGCCTGCCAGCGACAGACTGCCTCGGCGGCGAGTTGGTCGCGATCAACGAGGCGCGCACCCTTGTGAAGCGCGCGCTGGCGGAGCAATTCCAGCCCTAAATGATGCACCACAGGGGTGACATCAATGCCGAGATGCTGGAGAGGAGCACGTCAAAGAAGCTCACTTTGGACAGCATGTCCAAGGGCTGTGGGTTAGAGGGCCCGAGGCCGAACCCTCGGGATGGTCGCGACACGGCAATCAGCCTAGCCGAGAGCGCGGCCAGCACCCAGAAGCGCGCCAACGAGGGCGAGCAGGTCAGCCTGCCCGCCTTCGGCGACAACAGGCTGTCCGAGGACGGGGACGGCACCGAGAAGGCACCATGAAGTCGATCATCACCTTCATGGGAGCCGCGAGCCCGGCAGCACTGAGGTGAACAACACGTTGAGCTTCTTGGCGCAAGGAAGCCCAGGGTCGCGCGGACCCACGAAGATAGAAAACATACCTTCGCAGTAGCCCACGGCCCGAGTACAATCGACCGCGGCGCGCCCCGCACCTCCCGTTCGTCGAGGCGCAACCAGTTGCCTAAACATAAGTTTTCGGAGGTCCGCGCTGACTTCTCCGACCCATCCTAGCGCGCCGCCAGGGGGCTCCAACGCCGATCCGAGAAGCCGCGCGGACTGTCGCAAGCTCATGGTTTTGTCAGTGTGCGCTCGCCCGCTGCCTCTGGAAGCACGGCTGGCCTCCGAAGTTGCCCCGCGCGAGGGCTCCCACTGCGCAGCGTGGCATGGTGGCGCGGCCAAGACAAAACGCGACCCGCCAGGACTTTGCTCGGCCCGCTGGGGCGGGGGCGCTCATCCAGCGGGGGCCTCGATCCGATTCGCTGGCCCGGTTGTGACTGATCCTTTCTCCTCCTTCCTCACTCACTGCCCCC